CAGAATTATTTTTTTCTGAGGATCATGAGGGAAGGAGCTGTTCTTAGCCTCTTTCCTTGGCTTTTAGATGGACATCTTCTCCCTCTTGAGAAGAACATAGGCTTCCCTCTGTTCATGCCTGTGTCCAGATTTCCTCTTCATATAAGGACACTAACCATAGTAGATTAGGGCGCATTCTTATGATCTTATTTTAATTTTATACCTCTTTAAAGACCCTGTATTCAAATATACAAGCCACATTCTGAGGTACTGGGGGTTAGAATTCCAACAATAAAAATTTGGGGGAGGAGACACAATTGAACCCATAATATATGCTAACACTATTCAAAAGAAAGCTGGAGTAGCTCTATTAATTTCAGGCAACGTAGACTTCAGAACAAGGAAAATTATCAAGAATGAAGAAGAGCACGTTACCTAACGATATATGGTTCAATTCTCCAAGAGGACAAAACAATCCATAATGTGTACACACCTAACAACAGAGCATCAAAATACATGAGGCAAAAGCCAATACAAATGCAAGGAGAAATAGACAAGGCACCTCACAAATAGAGTTTGGGAGCAACAGTGCAAAAGTTAAGTTCCTTAAACCTGTTATTTCTTCCAGCGGCAAGAGGATTGTTAAAGAACCAAGGAAATATAACAGTAGGGCAAAATTATTCCCGAAATAACAAATATTTCAAGATTCCTGTTGGTTGGAGGAGCTGCTGGAGCTCTCTTTTACAAGACTGTAGACTCTATCCTCTGTCCTTTGACAACTGACACTCTCACCAGTAAACCTTTTAATCCTCCAACTAGTGGAATACATTTAAGGAACTGCGATAATGCCCATGAAATCATCAAAATTCACATAGAGCACCACCGTCTCTCTTCTTATCCCAGGAAGCCCAAATTCTATTGTCATACCCCTTAGGGAATTTTTCCCCTTTTAGGCTTCAATGGCTTTCAGGAGCTTTTTGAGTGATATTTATATTTATAGCTAATGATACATTAACTTTAATATTTCCTTGGCAGATTAGTACTAAAGAGAGAAATGTTGCTTGTTTCATGGAAATAAATTGATAGGTTCAGCAACTGTCATTTTGCTTACATAAGTGAACACTTTAGAAGAGAAGTGTTTTGTCCTGAGCAAATGGTTTTACATATGGAAAAAAATTTCCTGAATCCCAATACCTAAACATTAAAGAACATAATTGGTAAGTTTGAATCTTTCCAACATCTGGTAAGTGCTTTCTCCTTCATTCATTCATTCAGTCTGCACCACCAACATGTTAGCCACTGTGCTGAGTCCTGGTGATTGGAAGTTTAAAAAGATCCTGTTTCTGTCTTCTAGGGGTTCACAGTCTTGGGGGAAAGACAGACATGTTGCTAAATATGATATAATCAATAAGTGTTATATTAGCTGTCCCTACAAAAATGCTATAGAAAGACACACAGAGCTGGCAACTTAAGAGTTTAGTCAGTACTTGGGTATTATCACAGAAGGGAAGAAATAGCATTCTGAACAGAGAGAATGCAACAGTGGTATGTCTAGGTCCCTCAGAGTAGTGGGAGCAGCAAGAGGAGACTCTTAAACCCAACTTGATTTAGGATGAATAATTTAAGTG